TGGCTTCTGTCAGGTGATGAAGAGATGACCCCAGCTTCTGTTCCCTCAGTTTACTCAGTCTTGACAGCCAAAGGTAATTTCTGTGCCTTCAAGTTTATAGATATTCATTAAAATGCTAATACAATTTGGTTAGAAATCCAATTTATGACTTTTATTCTTTCTTGCTATTGGGGTGGGTGCATGTGTGTATGATTGTTGCTGCTGAAGAGTAACACTTGCAAAAGAACAAACACAGATTGATTTTCCTGAGCATTTTTCTCAACCTGAAGTGCTGAAACAGGCAAAACATGTTTCCATTACTTAACTAAGCAAACAATGGCATATAAATCATAAAGGCAGCTGGACCAAGGTGTCATTTTCATAAAGAGCCAGATTTCTCGTGAAGGACAGTTTAATGGGCTGCTGCCAGGGAAATGTCTGCAGAGCTGGTAATTGCAAGGAGGGCACACAAAATGTGGTGCTACAAAGGTGTCGTGTGGGATCTGAGGAATAGCCCTACAGCCAAGACAACTGGAAAAAGGAGACCGAAAAAGGTGTGTGCTTTAATAATTTGCTTCTTGAGGCTGATTGTTTTAAATAAAAAATCCAAGTTTGTATTTTTAGCTTGTTCACATTGGCTACAAGATCAGAGAAGTGTTTTTAGCTGTAATTTTATTTTGATCGTGTTTATGCTGTGGCTTTGTTTCTCCTTTGATCATGCTTAAACATGTTTCAGACACGTTTGTTTGATGTATACTGTTTTTTAAAGCACTCTTCCACATTGTCAGCTTGTATTTTTTACAAAAAAACAATGAATCACTGCAAAATATTTGCCATCAAATTATTTCTTAAATTAATTTTCCCAAAACATGCTTTCTGGACTTTTAGCCAGCAAGTGACTGCTTTTAAGCAAGAAAGTGTTGAACTGTCGTAATAGAATTTCTGAGTGCCCCACTAACTGGAGACAGTTTGAGGGTCACAGAATGGACAGAAATTTTAAGAAATTTTAAGTCAACCTATCTACCCACGACAGCTGCAGTGCACCAACTTTTACAATTGTCACCAATGGATTTGGATGAAAAACACACTTTTTATTTGGTAAAAGTTCATTCCAGCACTTCTTTTGCGGCTGTGTTGGATATATGAAATAGGTCAACCCTGACTGAATTATTTTAGGCTTCCCATGGGGACTCCTTGATACAGAACCTGTTTAATTTTGCAGGGTGAGGCAGGGCAGTCTCAATACTTGAACATACACATTCATGGATGACATTCTTTCTTCTGCTGCATGGGTGAGCAATTAGGAGAGTCAAGGAGTAGTCCCTCATCCGCGGACAACATCTCCCTTCCCCTCTTCAAAAAAGAGCAATAAAAATATTCTGTGTAGTCCACAGAGAGGCCTGTGTTGCGTGACTGCTGGCCATCTGGCTGATTGATTCATCATGACCCTAAACAGTTAGTTGTAAGCGTGGTCTGAAGCCCTGGAGTTAAATGCAAGTGTGCGTTAAGCCTCAGGCAAGTCAAACAGCTCCTCCGCTAATGAAACAATGAAGAACACGCTCCAGATCACTAGTTCACACCACTCGCTTCTTAGTTTTATAACCTACAAAATTATCAACCACGTTTCTCTCCCTCTTCACACATATAATCATGATGTTGCTTTTATGATCATAATATTCGTTCTGAACAGAAATGAATATATTTCTATTTGCAACAGCGCAAGTGCAGCCTGTTCTTCCTTTCTTTGCTTCATTGCATAGACATAGATCTGTTGTACGAAGAAGGGAAAAAATCAAACATGACCAGGTAACAAAAGCAAGGGCCCTAGAGCATGAAGAAACACTCTTTTATTGACTAAAACACATCGATTTAACCAGATGGTGAAACAGTGTGAGGTTTGCTCAGTAAGAAACACCAGTGTTATTCAACAAAAACCGTTCCATGATGTACAATGGATGTGTTCTAATATAAGGCAGTGTGACCACTTTATTTTCAGGAATGTAGTTAGGATTACTAATCCCTAATTGAAAATCTGAAATAATCCCAGATGAGCCCTGGTAAGAAATGTATACAAAGCATATTCACATGCGCAGTGGCTACAGCAATAGTTATATCTGCCTTCCTCACATCTCTCTCCTCTGCTACCACTCTGACAATTATTTTAAAATACATGTTTTCAATTTTTTAAACTAATATTCTGTCATTCTTTTATCAATCCAGCTTTAATACTAGACTCTCTTACTGTTTCTAGGTTCACTCGAAAAGTTATGAAAGGGAAAGAAAAGAATAATAATATGCTAACCGAGGGCAAGTTTATATAACCTGTACTATATCAGCAATATTATTTACTCAAATAGGACTCCCCACAGTATCTTCATAGGCCAATGTAAAGTTAGATTTTGATGCCTGATAAAATAGTGATTTATTTTAGAATTTGATATCTTGTGATTTACAAAACCCATTGTGCTAGAAACAAATCATTGAACCATTTGGGAATCTATTTAGGTTTTGGTTAAATGATATTTTTACCCTTTTTCATTAAGACCTTAAGATTGTAAAAACAATGTATTCAGACAAGAAGGTCTCCAGATCCAGTAGTCCATAACAATGTCTACTGATAGGTATCCTCTTTCTCTGATATATCCTTACAGAGGCTGTGATGCAGAAATTTTCCAGCTGTAGCCTTGTGTTTCTTGTGATACAAGTTGAATTCAAGGCCCTGGTAGATTATATATATAAAAAATAGATATTTGCAATGGTACAATGTAGTCTATTTGTCTTGGACCACATATCAGTGTTACCTGAAAGCTATTAAATGCATGCTAGAAAGAAAGAAAGCAAATATATTAGCTTAAGTTACTGGGGTTTGGAATGGAGAGCTTAAGCTCCTTACGAATTTTTGATGTTCTCAGAGGTCTAAAAAGATTTATTTTAATAGACAATAGGTAACAGACACAGTTTCACAAAGATCTGTTCCATGGCCTGTGTTGTTCAATGTGTTCATGAATAACCTGAAAAAGAGCTTGAGCATCAGGATGAGAAAATTTTTCACACGATACCAAGTTATTCAACATAGTAAGACAAAGGAAGACTGTGAAGAATTACAAAAGGATCTTATGCAACTGGGTAGCAAAGCAATCAAATGACAAATTAAATTATACTTGATGAATGATGTAGTGATAAACCATGGGGAAAACCATGAGGAAAACATTCCTATCTTCACATATAAAACGATGGACTCTGGACTGAACATGACCAATGAAAAATGAGGATCTGGGGTTATGGCACATGAAGTTCCATAAAAATTTTATATTACTCCTTAGGAACTGACAAATCTATATTAAATACTAGAAGTTAATAGAAAAAGAGCAAAGAATTCAACAAAGAGCATTGCTATAACCCTTGTATAAGAGCACAATTAATCCGTATCTTGAACACTGTGAGTATTTCCAACGTAAGAATTAAGAGGTACCAAATGATGTTAGTGAGATGGATGTTCAAAACATGAAATCACAAGTAGATTTTAGTTCTCTAAATTGTGTACATGAGGAACCAAGTCCAAAAGGACACTAAGAATGCTGGAAATATGCATGAATTCAAGAAGAGTCTATGCAGATAACTGGATGAAAAATCTATTGAGAGTTACGAAGCACGTAGAAAACAACCAAGCTCAGGGAATCAGCTACACTGGAGATTATTCTGGGAGAGTGTTATCTGTACTTACCATATTCTTTCTTTTTCCCAGATAATTACTTCTGGACAATGTCAGGGTCTGCATATTCATCTAAGTAAACCTTGGTCTAAGTCAGTATAATCATTCTTATGTACTGTGTATGTATTTATATACATATATACATACACAGAGAGTACATGAGAATATATACACATGCACAAAATTATGCACTATGTACTCATAAAATAGAAGCATTTGAACACGTACATGCATATATAAATATATCAAAATATATTACTTACAATGCTGCCATCCTTAATAAGGCAAAGGGTTTCACAGGACAGCTAGTGCAAACTGGCAAAACAAAGTACAGTTCGTTATTTCCATGACTGTATAGCAATAAACATTCACTGAAAAGATGTTAATGCATGACACTAAAATAGCTTATAATTTCACATAGGAACAGGACTCTGAGTAGTTAAATATAGTTCACAGTTAATTATCCCAGCAGGATGTAAAATGATTATAAAACAGACTGGTAAATCTGTTGGATATGTCTTCTTTTTCCAAATATAGTGAAAGACACCAGCTGAAATATCCCTGTAAAACACAGTGATGAGCCAGACTCACCACTTGTATGAATTTACTATTATGATTTCTATGAAATTCTCTCCCAAAACTTCTTTCCACCATTTTACGTAACTGATCAATATGTCTGCATTTTGTATATTTTCATTTGTTGATTTGTCTTATTTATCGTCAGATAATACTATCACTGTAATTGTCAAGAAATTAATGTATTATACAAAAGAAAAATAAAAAATGACAAGACAAGGTATTTCAAGAACTTGAATAGAAATTCAGAAATTAATTTCTCTTCTGAAAACAAGACAAAAATGTTGGGGCTTGGGGTATCATAATGTGGAATTAGACAAGATCAATTAAAACTATTTTTTTGCTGATTTTTTGATAGTAACACATTAATACTGTCCTAGATATAAAATACTTTCTTTATATTTTTTTTATTTTTGCTACCAAAGTTAAAATATCCAGAAACAAGAAAAATGTCAGCAGCAAATACATGGAATTAGGAAGCCATGCTGTAGTGTTATATAACCATTTGTAAAGAGATGGCATGTGTGTTTAATTGCTCCAATATTTAAGATCTCTTCATTAAATATCTGGCAAACATCTCTATTAAAGATAAGACGAATGTTAATGAGTGATGACATACCTAGCATTTGCTCTTTGATTCAAAGACTGATTTTTGGCAAGCAAGGTCACAATTTAGAAGGCAAATGATTCAGTTCGTGAAGTAGTAACATGCACAATGGCATTGTCTTCTCAGATCCCAGGTTTATTAGTGCTCACCTGATACCAGAGAGTGACAATCCAGAAGATGACAAAATTTATTTCTTCTTCCGTGAAAACGCAATTGATGGAGAGCACACGGGAAAAGCCACTCATGCCAGGATAGGGCAGATCTGCAAGGTAAAATGATGACTTCTTCGTGTCACCTTGAGTACACTTGCAGGATACTTTGCAAGTGATTTTAAAAACTGCATTTTTGTGCCTGTAAAGTACACTTTGTATTAACACTGGCATTGTTCTAAGACATCATCCCAAGTAAAAAATAGGGGATAACACACCTACAGGTATACTATTCACTTCTCCTCTGTCTGAGGAAGCTTCATGAATGATGATTTTTAAAAGGTTTTAAGTATCTTCTGACGCTTAGAATGTGTCTGTAAAAGAGAGAATCTTTTACAGGAAGTATAATACTTCCAGGTAGGCTAAAAGCATTTGAAGAATTCACTTTTTAAAGGAATGTTAATACCTTTCCATTCTCACATTAGTGAAAATCTTTAAAACAGAGCCAAAGGAAGATTCTATTTAATGAAACAGTGGCTTAAGTTTAGCTGTAGAAATGGGCAACTATTCAGAAGACCTTTAATGAGTCCCTCATCCACACTGAAAAATGACCAAATATTTTTCTAACAGACCTTTAAAAAGATTTCTGCAGATGAAAATATAAGGAAAAATGTTGTACCTTTGCCAATAGTAAAGTTTCATGTTAATTCATAAGCGCAGTTTCAATTTTTCTCCTCAAATCCATAGGTAGTTGCTTGAAAACCAAATATTTTATAAGCATGGAGCTTTTGGTGCACAAGTTTTACAGCTATGAAACTGATCCCGCTGTTCTGGCGCTTTTATCTACTTTGTTCACTTGCAACTTGCATTTCTACCTTTTTGCTGCCCGGTAAAGAATAATACATTCCTTCAGCTTTAACAGCTCATGACAGCCTGAGAGCTCTGGAGCAAAACATTCTGCCTGTCTTTCTCCAGTGTTATTACAATTCATATTTTAATATTCATATTACAATTCATATTGTAATATTCATTTTACAATATGTGAAGAGATGTGGGGATTTTGTTGGTTTTTTTAAGTGATATGCTACTATGAAATATGTCATGATACAATGTAAAAAAACCCTAAAAACAATTCATAATTAGTGTATTTGACAACATAATAATGTTTTTTATGTAGAAAGTATATTATTTTATCTGTTTTCTGTAAGTAGCATCTTGTGGTTCTTTACTGTATTTTCTCTGCACTCTGTTGATACTTCAAACAAAAACTTACTAGATATTATTGCAAAATACTTTTGTTATTAGAATGACTTTGGTGGACACAGGAGCCTTGTTAACAAGTGGACAACTTTCCTCAAAGCACGCCTGATTTGTTCTGTGCCAGGACCCAATGGCATTGACACGCACTTTGATGAATTACGTAAGTGGCAGAAATGGCTCTGAATAGCAAAATATTTTCAGGTATTATCCATTTGAATTTAACTTAGTTTTCTTTGCTGTTTCTTGTTCTTGTTACAGAGGATGTATTCCTAATGAACTCAAAAGACCCCAAAAATCCAATAGTCTATGGAGTGTTTACAACTTCCAGGTATAGAATGTGTCATTTTACCTGCATGGAAACTTGAGTGGCTGCTCGTTTTAAAGAGGTCTCTTTGTTACAAATGTTTTTAAGAAACACAAAATTTTCTTAACCTTTGAACTGAGCAGTCAGTGGCAGTAAGAAGTAATGAATTAGGTCTCTTTTCTTATGAGCAATGTACATCATCACTCTGAAGCTGGTAATCACAAAGACTGTCAGTTTCTCAGGCTGTTCTTGCCATTGAATTGGCTTTTTATAGAATTTGTAGCCCTTTCCACACAAACCTGGAAGAAATAACACGTGCATAAATACATGCTTGTTTGGGGGCAGGGTAAAATTAAAAAAAACAACTGTGGTTTGAGAAACTAGCTACACAAGGAGATATTAGTGAAAAAATATTGATGAAAACTGGAATGTTTTACGATCTTTCAAAAGTTTGTTATTGAACCACATATAACTGTGACTTGAATGTTGTGGTTTTACTGTGCTTTCACCAAGAACAAACTGATACTTGTAGTTTTGGCCTGAGGATGGTTGCAGTACTGGTTGTGTTGCCACTTTTATCTGTGAAGGACTGAAGTTTTAGTTTCTAAGCAGAAAGAATGTTTCTAGTGATCACCAGGCATAGAAGAGGGAGATTTACAAGTCCTTACTGTCCTCTGTAAGAAATCTCAAGGTAAGAAACAACCCTGAAGTTTGCGTATGTGCTGCCCAAATGACGGAAGAGGCTGCTAAAAAAACATAAAGAAAAATGTGAAGTGTAGGGAAGAACTGAATAGGCCTCTGGGGACAGCCCTGCTGAAGTTTGTTCAAACTAGGGCTTTGGCCTTCTGGGGACAATACGTCTTAAAGAGTGGAATAGCAGCCATCTGCTTCGCAAAACCATCTGAGAGATCGTATCAGTTATGCTGAACTTTCACAGGAGGTGAGTTAGGATTGCTCTGAGAGCTTGTCAGAGTTTTGATAATCAGCACATGCAGTAAATTAGAAAGCAACAAGCTGCTATTCCCAAAGCGCTTCCACTCAGTTAAACCGCCTGATAATTTAAAGAACCTGGTTTGATTTTTTTTTTCTTTCCTCTTTTTTAGTAATATCTTCAAGGGGTCAGCGGTGTGTATGTATAGCATGACTGATGTGAGGAGGGTATTTCTTGGTCCTTACGCCCACCGAGATGGCCCGAACTACCAGTGGGTTCCCTACCAAGGTCGAGTGCCATATCCACGGCCAGGAACTGTAAGTACCCTAAGAAATACAATAACTAAAAAAGGAAAACTGTGGAAAAGATTTTCACACAGTACATGATCCTTGAGTTGAGATCCGGGAATGAAACTGAAAAAGATAAGGAAATGGACAGGGTGGCAGAAGGGAAAGCTAACATTTCCTCCATGTTCAAAATGTACTTTTTTTTTTTAAAAAAAAAGCATGAAACTGCAATAGCAACTTCATTTGGATTTTAATTCATATTAACAACGTCAGCAGAAGCTTGAGCAATGGCTGGAGAACTTTACCGAAAGCCAAATGTTAAATAAATTACTCAGCATTATCCTTTCCGTGGAATTTGTCTTTGTTCCAAATACTGGCTGAGCCATCTTTAGTGAGAACGAACAGAAAACAGAGCATCTGCCTGGCTGTTAAGAAACTTTCAATTGTTCTCGACATTAAATCTAATGCAGTAAGACAGACACTTCTGCAACAGATAGAGTGACTAAAATAATTTCAGACTTCCACTGGCATTTTTTGAAGTCTAGTCTTCTACCTGTTTCTCTCTTTCTAGTTTATGAATTACTAAAATTTCACTGTGTAAGACTTCCATACTTACAACTAATAGCTGATGTCATCGTATTCTACAAATATTTAGCTGCCTCTGAAATTAACAGTAATTGAAGAAGATGGGACATTTATGAAAAAAAATACTAATTGTATATATCGAGCTAGCTCCTTAGCTAGTATAAATCATCTTGGCCTAAGTTCTGAAATATCATTGCTGAAAACTAAATATATGTGTGCAAAGGTATACATATAAATATATAAATATAA